TGGGTTCATGGGTTCATGGGTTCATGGGTTCATGGGTTCGGGGTTTGTTTGTTTTTGTGTCGGAGGTTTTGGGTTCGGGTGTTGGAGGTTTTGGGTTTGGGTGTTGGAGGTTGAGGTTTCAAAAGGGATGTGTTTGCAAAGTTTTATTGCTCTTAGTATTTTTGCTGAGATGCTCCTGGCATGCGTGCCCGTTGTCTCAGAGCATCCCAGAGCCGGGTCTTTTTTACCTCTTAGGGTTGGGGATTTCGATTTTTTTATATCAAGCACGAGCGCGACGGCGACCTGTACCTGACCAGGACCAACGGCAATAAGCAACAGCCTGGCTCCTTCTACCTCTAAATTATTCATCTGGTTCGATTCTAGCAACTCAGCTCCTACTCAGCGAGCAACAACAGCATGGCGAGTCATTTCGAGAGCAGCAGCTTCAAGGTGGAAACGCGATTGATGCTAACGAGATCGCGAGTGTGCAGAGATCCGAGCAGCAAATGGATAGGCTTCTAGATACGAAAGCTCACGACCTTTTAGCACAGAAACATCCAGAATTCGCAGATGAGATCGACTTTCGCAATGACCATAGAGACTGCTTGGCAAGTGACCAGAACGAAGAGCAGGTAGCTGGTGGCGTCGTTCAAGGAGGCGAACATGAACAATCCTTTCTTGAAGAGGCAAACATAAACAAAACCTCCAGGAGTCAATTATATTTCGCAGATCATGGTGGTGCAGCGGGAGGAGAGTTGCCACCACTTCAGATGATCATCAATTCCTCAACCCACGACGAAGTAGGAGCAACACACCTACAGTCTTCAGAGATACTAGGTGATTCTGGAGGCAGCGGACCAGGTATAATGCTGCACCCCTCGAACCCGTCGATAAACGGAAGCTCTTTTGTGCCATCATCGGTCAGTGGCTTATCTCCACCACTGTCATTGCCCAACGAACTTCATGCTGGACCTGGAGGGGGTGCCACCGCATCGTCAGGCTCCTCCTCGATGCCTTTAGGATATAGTTCCGTAGCAGCAAAAGTAGAGTACGATTGTGCTTTTCGAACAGAAACAAGCCCCCGCGGTTCTAGCGCGATGCATCAAGTGGATGAAGAGGGGAAAGCAGTTTCGACCTCCAGAGGACACGCAAAGATACCGCAGACAGGTTCCGCTCCCGCAGGGCTTGTAGATACGAGGTCTCCAAGTTATACAGCGACACCGCCGCAACAGTCATATGATTGGATTGGTGTGTAAAAGATAGAGACGTAGGAGTGGTCCCAAACCGTCACCTAGCGATCCTTTTGCAGCTAGTAGTCCTTGATGCTGCACACTATATCCATATCTATACATCACACTACATTATAGTCTCCAAATGATTCATCCTAAATTTTGAGCAAGAGGAAGAAGGCATTCTCTACTTCCCTTTCGCTCCTGTCAGTTGTCCTCACTGTTCCGCGTTCATCACCAGGCAGCAACGAGCGCGCCGGTCGAAGGACGTTTCGTATCTTCATACGGACATAAGAGTCGAGGAAAGTCGCTCTATCTTCGGGCCCTTGGCGGCGGTGGAGAGTCCATCAAAAGCTTTAAATCCTCTCAGACATCACTTGTCGCCTCAGAGCGAAGAAGCACCTGGGGAGCGATCAATCAAATGTACTAAATATTGTGTTTAATTTTTGGTCTCACTAAATGAAAACTTTTTTTTGTTGAGAACAAGATTAACAAGTGGTGTATTTGGTTATGATTTACTGTATTTTATTATGATTTAGTACTGTACTTGGATTATTCCTCAGTATCCACTAATATAATTATACTGATTATAAATTTTTCGTTTTTATTTTGTGAATCATGTTGATGAGAGAGGCCGGTTGTTCGTTGATCATGTTCGTTGAAAGAGGATTGGCCGTCAACAGGTCGGTAAGTGAGAGTGACACATCAACATCCGAAGCCAGGTTATTTCGTACTGTGAACGAAGACTTCGAGCATAGCAAGCTTTCTAAATGGGCGGTTATGGCGATAGTTTTTTTTAACGTCTCCGGTGGACCCTGGGGATCAGAGGAAATCTTCCAGCATGGGCCTCTGCCAGGCATTCTCGCTGTTCTCCTCGTAGCATTCTTTTGGAGCTACGGTCAGATCCAAATTACCTCTGAGCTCGGATCTGCGTTCCCGGTTAACGGCGGCTATAGTTATGCTTGTTGTCGATGATACTCTTTTTACTCCTGGTCTCGCTATGTATAATAATCGTTCCATATTTTGTACTCCTCCAGCACCTGGTCCTGCACCGACCTAACCACCTGCACAACGTTATGTATCTACGTAGAAGTAAATCTTTTTTCTACGCCTTTTTTGTCGAGTTCAACGTCTTCTGGTTCTGGATAGTTCTTTGTATTAAAGGATCATAGCATTTGCAGTAGTTGCACTGAGTCAGAGTACCGGTCCCCACGATCGCCGCCTCCTCCTCGTGATGTTCCTGATTTAGCCCTGCAGCAGCACTAAATATGGGATGACTAACTAGTACACACTAGAAGAATTTTTACTCAATCCAAAAACATACTTTAATATCGTTTGTGGGTAACGGAAGCGTTTGGCCCTTTTTGGGGTTTTCTGGAGAGTTACTGGTCCTGGGTAAGCGGCGTAGTCGATAACGCTGTTTATCCTGTCCTGCTCTTCGATGGCGTCAAGAACTTCTTCCCGGAGAACGTTGGCACTCTCTCAAACGAAGCGCAGTACTTCTTCAAGGTTGCCATCATTTTCTTTTACGGCAATGGGCTAGTGAAAGTTTAATGTTCAAATTTTTCTTTTTGTATCTATAAAATGCAAATAGTATCAACTGCATCATCTGCAGCATTCCAAATTAGAAGCGATGGAGATGTGTTGTTCTTCCGCGGCTAGCTATTTGTCATTGTCACTCAAGCTCTATCTACTAGTAAGTAACTATGTATTGGTCCACGCCGACAGGATCGCCATCGCGATCGCTAGCTACTTATAAGCTGAGCTAGTAGCGACGAAATGTGGAACAACTTATGAAGAGCTGGTCATCTGATGTTCTAACTTTTACTCGCGATTCCGAATTTCGTCTCTACGAGCGGAACGGGTCAGATGTTGCAGGTATTGGGCATCGTTCAAATGCTCCCTTTTCTTCTTTTTCTCGTCGTAGCGCTACCCAAGATGAACTTTGAAGTTTTCACGCAGACTGATTTGATCAGCACTTCTCAAGGCCAGATGCCGACTGCCTTGAGAACTGGAACGGCGAATCTTAATGTTGAAGGAACGAACTCAGGCAAGGGTGGTCCACCTGTAAACGGTGCAATAAACGGTGCAATAGGCAACTTCTCCGACAACTTCTTTGCTAAGATCTTTTCTGCGGATTTCTTGTGCGTCATCTATTGGAATTTGAGTGGATGGGACTGCGTTAGTTACGGCTAGAAGTATATCACTATCCCGTGTGGATAGATAACCTTTCCTTTTTCTATCTTTTTCTGCTTTTTGTTTTTTTTGTAGTTAAGTGCTCCACCACAATCATGAGCAGTGGGGAGTGATTTCAAATCCATACCCTTACAGAGGCCAGTCAAGGGGATTCGTCTAAAGGAACAAGGAAAGGGAGTGCACTCAACCAGGGATAGTGAGTATCTAGCGTTAAGTTGATACCGTGGCAGGAGAAATCGAGAATCCGGAGAAGAATTTAGCACCAGCCCTCAAGTATTCCTTGATCCTCACGGTTTTACAATTAAGGATAACTACGTCGACGTGGTGCTGCTTACTAGTATTTCGTCATCGTCTGTGAATGTGTTTGTCATAGTCCTTCTCAACCTGCTTTCTACTTCGTGGCTCTATCTCTACCAGAAGATCCAGTTTTTCACTTCTAGCAAATCGAGACATACTAGTAGTGCTGGGCGGCGGAGGCAGAGGCGGGTGATGTGTATCTAAAACGAAAAATATCAAGTTTATTTTGGTGATGCTATGAATGTGTATGGTCCTCCTCCTCCTCCTCCTCCAGGATGATGAAAATCATGAGGAGCATCATGACTAGCGCTAATCCAGTACGTTCTTATTTTGTCGGCTGCGGCGGGTGTCACTTGTTCATGTAGCTCGATAAATTCGGCTTCTACTGTCTTCGACCTGGCGGCACCAGAGGATCGTCCTCTTTATGCTTATGATATTTGCGTGGCCCTCGTTGTGAAGAATTCATCATTCTTTTTCTTCTAGTAGCACGTCCCATCTTTGATTGTATCTGTATGGGTATGCATTTTAAATACGCATTAAAAGAAAACTAGAGAGCTAAGAAGGTTATGTTAGCTGAAACCAACTTCTAGGTTCACTAAGGCTCTATTTCAAGTTTAGGAATTACGAAAATCATGAATACACAAGGACGAAGGTTTTTCCACATCCACTAGGAAAGCCGACGATGAACCGAGGAATGGAATGCGTCTTTTAGCTTGTACCTCTAATTCCATGACAACCTATATGGTCAGTCTTCATCCACGAGGCCAACACCTCAGATCAGCATGCCTACAAGAAGAACGAATCCGCTATCATTTTCTAGTGGTCCCGCATTCTTCACGTCGACATTGATGTCACCATCCTCATCTTCTTTGTCGTCTTACCTGCCAACGTCGCCATTTCTGAGCACCACCAGGCTTGATGGAGATCCGGTATCTGTAGTACAAGGAGAGCCCTCCTCCTCCTCCTCCACCTCAAGGAGCAAGATATTTCCGGTCCCAGACCTAGAGGACCGAGGATGGCGCACGTGGCGCGACGGCAGTTTACCCGATATAGTGAAGAACACATGCGGTCCTTGGATAGGAGGAGCACTTCTAATCTTAAGGGTTCTTCATTTACTTAGAAGTTTTCATCCGCCACTTCTAATCTTCAGGGTGTTAGTGTTTCTACTTCGTACTGGGTGTTACTTCAAATCCACTTAGCTTCCAAAGTAGATTCTACTTCATCGTCGGTCGCCTTCCGTATGGCAGCGCGGGACCTCAAGTAGTGCAATTAGTGCACACTGTTATTGTATTGTGTTGTCGGTCTCGGTCTCCTTAGCTTGGTGAGGTTGTAGTCACCACCGGAGGACGACCAGGAAGGAAGTAGAACTACAGCATGGGGATTACTCAGGCTCAATCTGAGGATGAAACACGACCACGACCACCAGCTATATATCTATTAGGTTGTGAGAGCATTTATGTTCAAGTGCAGGGCTAGCTCTTGATCTTTGGTTAATCGCCGTCTAGTCCGCACAGCACATATGAGAGCATTTCTAATTATCGCCAATCTTATAGGTAATGCCGGAATGTTCTGCGCAGAGCTGATGGAGGATTCTTATCAACTTGAGGGCTTAGCTGCGGCAGACGTGATTCCTCGTTGGACGCGATTAGACTGGAAACATCCTGTTTGGCTAAGGCTTGAAATACTTATTCCATAGTCCTCTTTTATGCTATTTAGACAGGGACAGCGAGCTCGAGGTGCATTCTTCTTTATCATCATGATACCGATCCTTTCATTTTCAATCATAATGAAGGTCATGGGTTGTAGCCATGATACTAACTGTGTTGTGTTGTGGCCATGATTTTGATGAAAGTGCAGACGAGTACTGCTTTTTAATTCTTATTTGTTAAGTATACGATTATTAATATGTAATTGTTTGAGGTTGTAAATGCCAAGATTTCCACCCTCTTCTGGGTCATCTAATTTTCGGAACGCCTTGCATCGCGATGATCCCGAGTTTGTATTTTTGCGTGCTCTGTGTCAGCTTCGACTTCTCACAAATCTTAGCCGTGAACAACTTCTTTTCGGCTTCAGCAGCGTTGTTAGGGCTTTTTACTCGACATGTTCATCATCATCTCCTAGTCTTACATCATATTATATATCCTAGGTTTATCCACCCACCAAGCAACAAGTCATCATGTCTTCCATCATTCGAGGTGATTTTTTTGACGTACTGTTTTGTTTTCAAGGGGTGGAAAAATAGGCCATCCACCGAATTGCAGTCTGTGGGCCCACTTGTTCGACCACACTTACTCCACTTGTTCGACTACACTAAGAAAGTAGGGTTCAGACTAAAAATCGTAATGGTTTAGACTCCTTTCCCTCTCGAAGAGGAGGATAGTCATAGTGGTTTGTCCAAGTAACTAAAACTAGACTTTAAGATGAATATCTCTACGGCGGGTGCTACGCAATAGCATCATCACCAGGGATACACACTCACCCATGAGAAGATCGATTGCGTTAGAAAATATCGGCAAGGTCTAACGTTGCTCGAGTTCCTAGCTTTTGTGGAGTTCCGGAGATCAAGACCAGATATGGAACGCCCCTACAGGGCCAGCGACTTCGTTCTCTACTTCGTACTGCCTGTCGCTTTTTTGTTTCTATGGAAGCACGGCTTCTACATGATAATCAAGATAAGGGGATGTTAACTTCTGTATCATCTATGTACACTTTTGTGCTTAGTAATAGTATCCTTCTACGAAAATACGGAACAAGCGTTTGTGGGTTACTTGTCTTGTGGTGCATACTAGTGTACTAGTAGTTCTTTGACCCGTCCCAGGTTCCTTTTTTTTTCTACTCTCGTCTAGCAGCTCTTCTCGTGAGATTGTCTACTAGATGAACATTTAGGAGGACTGTCTAGATGAACACCTAGGAAGATTGTCTATGTCAACAGCTAGGAAGATTGTCTCCTTTGTTGGACTTACCCCTCGAATGGGTAAACTACTACTACTACTACTTCCCAGATGAACGGCAGCAAGAACAGCGAAACCGATCTTCTTCTAATCTGGGGATGCGTTGTACTTTGGAAAGCATATGAAAAAGTCCCGGTTGTGAATGCAGTCTTGATGTTTCTGGCCTTCCCTCTCGCGCGCATACTAGCACTCCGCTTCGAGTCGCTGTATCTTAAGTTAAGGGTAGGCTAAAGGTGATCCTGTTGCCGTTCGTTTTGCCTTTGTGAAGGAGGAAAAGCATAACGAACGGGCTAAACGAACGCCAGAAGCCTACCGCTAAATAGGGACGCTCCGACCACAGTATCTTAGGGAAGCTCCGCCAGAAAAATCTTAGGGAAGCTCCGACGTGACTCTAAGCTGGCTAGACGCACTCGATGTTGAGGCGCTTGCGTTCATCCATCCTGGCTGCGAGGAGACGGAGAAGCATTAGAGCACGTGGAGATGCTTGCTTTCATTCAGCTGAAGAACTACAATGTCCATGTTCTCGTAAAGTAAGGGGAAAGAGTAGAGATTGAGACAGAGTCAGAGGCCAACTATGAATACTTATTCACCATAAGCAGATTATAAGACAAATCATCCCGATCGCGTTAATTGTGATTGTGGTGATAGTGATGCATTGATGTTGATGGGGAACTTGATGGGTTTCAGTTACATGTAACTTACCGATATCAGCTCGAGTACGTGCTTCTTGTTTAGTTCTAGCCTACAAGAACACCGAAGTGAGTAGTACGTAAGTAAGAGTATGAACGTCGACACTTTTTCAAATCCAAATCGTCGTAAACATCGTGATCCTAGTAATTAGAATTAGGCTCGTATTTTGTAATCGACTAGTACAATGCTGTTGCTGGTGCGACAACTGCGCGCTAGTATGAGCTAGTACTCGGACCAGTAGTAGCTGCGGTAGCATTTTTTCCTGTGAGTGTGGAAGGTCGCGCTCCTGCTCTCCTCTTGATCTGATATCGAGAAAGATTCTTCAATTTAAACTGAGAAGGTACAACCACACGAAACGTGCTGCAGATGCTACGGAGACTTGATGGAAGTCCATCTTACAAATTATTTACTCCATAGAAATACTGACTTTGAAAAGTCCTAGGCAAGTCTCATTTTATCTAGAGGATGACTCCTGGCCCTGGATTCAATAGCGAAGACGCTGGCTACGTAGTTAACAGACACCACACTTAATATATATAGCTGGATGCACTACTACACAACGTGACAGTCTTCAGATGGATAAACCACTATGCTGCTCGTGGTTCCTCTTGAACAAAGTGAGTTGCACTTTCTCTATTTTCTGGTTGCCTGAACACTGCTGAAAATGGTGATGGTGATCTCCATGATGCTTTTGATTAGGTCATCCAGAAAGCCATCGAAGCTTTAATTTGCGGCGTTGTTCTTAGCATTCTACACTCGTCAAAGAGACGGAAGTGTAGAAAAAACTGCACATTTCATGACATTCCGCAAAAAAACGAAAACGTATCTATAGAGATGCAAAAGCGAAAACTTAATTGACTTTTATCTAGTATGTATCTTCGCTTCTCAGTTTTTCACTGGTTTTTCTGTTGTGTTGATAAAGCTTCGAGTTAACAAGGCCCACACTGTGGAGTCAACGCAGACCTTCTTGCGAGCACAGCCACAGAATGAATGAGTGAATGAATGAAAGGCATGCTGCACTTCTTACTTACAACATGAAGCATTTTTACCTCTGGCCCTGGTCCATTGAATTCAAGTCAAAGCAAGAGCCTTCTAGCGAAGAATTAGTGAGTGAGAGAGTGAGTAAGTAAGTGGGTCGTGCTAACGGCAAGTATGGGCGGAAAGAAGAAGATCAAGATTCATCCTCCATCTTTGTGATCGTGGAGGTTAGAGGGTTGCTTTAGGGCTTGAGAGACGTGAGCGATATCTATGTACGTATTAGTCATCAAATGGTACATCCTAAGAGACGAGTTGGACGTGTTCATCGCAAAACGTTTATCGCCTCGTAGTCGTACTTTCGTGATCTCCTCTGCCGACTTGTATCTAGCTGAGTAAGTATGTTAGGTGCCTACATTAATGCTTTTCCTTTTCCTCCCTACGTAGCGTAGTAGTGCTAGGTAGTCGCTCAGTCTGTTTAGTATTATCTTTTTTTCTTCGTGGCATTATGTTGTCTCCGCCTGTCTGCTGTTTGTGAGTCGAATCTCGCCCCTGTGGGTGGCCAGCAACTTTTTCTGAAAAATCCAAATCCAAATCCAAACTAGACTTGTTGTTAGACGTAATATTAGCTGCATTGCGCAAATTATCGCTATCCTTACTTCCGCATTATCATCATGAATGAACGACAGATAGAACAATACTACAACAACGGATGATAGGAAATAGGAGATAGAGATCATAATTTGTTGTAGGACGTCGTCGACGTGATGTTGTAGTTCATATAAGTTTTCTCTTTTTCTTCTGCTTGGTGGATGCTGAGACTCGCTCCACCTATTCGTGACGATGAATCTCCGTTGTTGTAAGCAGAACTACGCCACGCTTTGGAGTGCCTAAAGTTCTCCGCAGATCATGTGACTTCACCGTATGTATGAGTCACTTCCATTTGCTTGTGCGACCACTAACTTTAGAATTCACGTTCTTCATGATTGTGAGTACTTATGTTGGTCCATTTTGTAACTCCACCTCCTTCATCCGCTCTCCTCTCTGAGCGGAACGAAAACTTCTCATTTCTCATCCTGCAGTCGCTCGGTCCATAAAGATGACGTCAAATAAGAATAGAAGAACGACTCCAAAAACGAACAGGAGGATCCCGCAATTACCGCCACCAGAGGAGGTCCCAATATCAGGTTCAGGGTTGTCTTCGTCATCTATGATCGCAGGAGCGGCTGATGAAGAAGGTTGTTGTATTCACAAACCCTCCTCAAGCTCAACCTCATCTAGTAGCAGTACAACAACAACCTTGACTAGTAGTTCTTCTTCAACATCTTCTACGTCTGCTTGTGGTAATACAACCACAACTGCTGTGGACCACGATGAAGATCTCAATAGGGCAGGAGGTTCTAGGAGTTGTTCAACCAAGAAAACTACAACATCTTGTTCCCACTACAACAGGAGCAGCTCTGAGAAAATAGAGAGCGACATGAGGAAGCTGCAAATGCAAAAACCAATGCAAAAACCTGCTGGAGACGTGTCGGCGTCTTCGACATCTAGGGACTTTCATCAGGTTGTGCTGACAGCAGACGCAAAGCAGCCCGTTGAAGATGTTTCGGCTGTCGGGAAGAGGAGTAGACTAAGGCTCATTTCACAGACACAGTCCACAGGCTACATCTTGTTCTGATCTCAGTTCACAGCAGCAGAAGTGTTGCTGGTCTCAGTTTTCTCTTGGATTCGGTTTCTGAGACTGTGATTGTGAACGCACTAGAATATGAATCAATGTGAAGAGCGCTAATTAGAAGATGTAGACACTTTTTCTCGTCTGAGACTCCTGAGACGAGACAACGAGAGGCACCATGTTCTGGTGTCGAGACAACGAGAAACACTGGAACGGATGTGTCTCTGTTGCGAAGCTCATCAACAAGAACGCCTCTGCAGAATAATCTTAGCGACACTAGTATGAGCAGGGAAGCAGGCACGTTGTTATGGCCATCAGAATCTGAAATGGAGACATCTGAAAAGTCCTCTGGGACTAGAATACATCAAGATGAACTTCGTCTGTAGTCCAAGTAGCACGAAGATGAAGAAAATAACTTTTACTTTGGGGGGGGGGCCGGGCGCCCTGGACCCCTTTTCCAGGCGTCTGCCGGGGGGGGAAGGCCTCAAAAGGGGGCCCAGTGACCTCCCCCCTCCGCTCCCTTCCAGCAGCCTGGCTGTTCCCTAGGGCCTTCGATGGTGGTGGGAGGCTTCAAAAGGGGCCCAAGGGACCGCCTGCGCCCCCGTCCAGGTGCCTGCTTGTGCCCCAAGTGCATCCGTTAGGCTTCGCCGCCGCCGCCGTGCCGCCTGTGCCCTCCGGGCCCTTGGTCATCGGCTTGCTTGCTCTTGCGACCGTGGTCGCCTTCGGCGGCCTTTTACCCCGGAGGCCTGCCGCCTGCGAGCGTCAGCAGAGGCCGGGAGGCCCCTTAGGAACACGCTGAGAGGCCCAAGGGGAGGCCCGCGCCAAGTTTTGACGCCTTCCACCACTAGAATCCGCGAAAAATTCACGCGGAAAAGCGCGCGCGAGCGCCACCACAGACCAGACCACAGGGGGGGGAAGGGGGGTGTAGGGTCGAGAAAGGGGCACCCTGGGCTTTACGGGATTTCTAGTCGTGTAGGCAGTTTGGTTCTGCTTCCTTACCATTTTGAAAATGTAAACGGTAACGGAGGAGGCCCCAACCTGTGTTGACTTCGCCTAATTTAGCACGACAGCACAACTATGACCGCAGTGAGCACATCCACAGGAACCACAAGAACCACAGGAACCACAGGAACCACAGGGACCACAGGGACCACAGGAACCGCAGGAACCCCAGGAACCACAGGAACCACAGGCCAACAGGAACCACAGGCCAACAGGAACCACAGGCCAACAGGAACCACAGGCACCACCGGCGCCACAGGGACCACAGGAACCAAAGGAACCACAGGAACCACAGGAGCCACAGGAACCACAGGAACCACAAGAACCACAGGAACCACAGGAACCACAGGAGGCTCCAGCAGGAGCAGGACCCGCCTGGCGATCGCTTGGCCCCAGATCATATCCGCACTAGAAATCCCGTAAAGCCCAGGGGGTCCCATTCTCGAGCTTAAGGGGGAGGGGGGGGCCTATCTAGCTCTTCCGTTACTCCCGTCAACTCTTGCAGGACAACCCACAAACAATCACTCTCGTAGGACAACCCACCAACAACCACCATAGGGAAAGAAAGTCCAAAAATGGCCTCAAGCCTCAGTCTCCTAGTTTCCTACGCGACAGCATACAGCAGAAAGACTAGTGACTTGGCTCGAATGATATACTTTTTTGTTTGAAGAGATAGAAAGATCAATCTTGGTTTTCTTCGGTTCAAGGCCTAACTAAACCAGAGTAGTTTATAGCACGCATGGTGCATGGAGTAGCATGGAGTGCATGGAGCGCAGAGCTTTAAGGGGCGCAAGCAGCTCCCCCCTTAGCTCCATGCTACTCCATGTGATCCATGCACTCCATGCCATGCGCGCTGTGAAACCTTACAAATTGCTCTGCTGTAAATCATGGCCATGGAAAGACGACGCAAAAGAGATGAGTGGATGCTTTTTTACTCTAACAACTATGGTACGGAACGAAAGTAGCTCCAATGGCGACAGCTCACATCATAAGCAGAAAAAAGCAAGGAAGCGAAAAAATGCGCGGAAAAGCAAGACCGTGGACGGAGGTGAGATGATGTTCTTGGACTTTACTAGCCCCGGGGATCCTGGCCCTGGCCCTCACTCTGGTATTATGAAATTCACATACACGTGAAATTAAAAACTCGAAGTCTTAAACTATGCATTCAAGTGAATTCGAGGACAGTTAGAAGTTAGTAGCTCTCTTAGATCTATTTCAGTTTCTCGCCGATTAACTTTTTTAATACTACAACATGAATCAATCATGTGGATCATGAGCTGCTAAGGGAAGTTTTTGAGTAAATTTAAATGAGATGTAAGTGAAGGGTATCGTTTAGCACTAACAACTACTTGATCTTGATGTTTTTTTCACATCTTTCACTTGACTCTTGTTATATATACTATACATAGATGCATATTTTTAGAAGCTGCTCCAATCTGCCTCGACCCACTTCGGCGTATGAATATCGGACGCCAGGGCCACGCCTCTCGATACATCATGGCGCTGACGATCATTCACCAAACACAAACTCGACTCAGAACATAAACTTTGAAGAATTCCAAGGTTCGGCAACACTTGTACCTCGAAACACGAAAACGTCGGATACGCGACTTGTTTGGAGGAATGCGGGAAGGCACCAGAATATGGGCAAGAGGTGGCTCATCATCTATGCCACGTTGACGCTCTTCTTGATTGGTGGGGTTGCAATTCTGCATTACCTGTTTTAAGGCTTCCCCTAATCGATCTCTATGGGGCTCCCTCAACCTTATGGCGCGCCCCAATACAAGGGGGATGCTGACGCATACGCTTGGGGGATTTCCACAGGGATGAATCAACTCGGGAGAGGTCTAACCGTTTTTTCGACGTGATGCCTCCTCGTCGCAGAAGCAGGGAGTTATCGAGTTCGTCGGAAATGAAATATCAGGAGAAATAGAGACATCATATTTTCCTTCTCGATCTACGGCGTCTTCTAGTGGATGTTCTTCATCAACAAGCTCGAGCTCTAGTACTTGTAGTGAGACAAACATTACCAAGACGAGTACTAGAACAAGTTCATCTCCATCTCGTGGGGGATCATCTTCCGGCACCACAACTAGAAGAGAGGCGTCAGCGTCTGCGCCTAGTACTAGAAGCAGAATTTTTCGCGGCGATGGGACATCCTCTGACTCCGAGGACCACGACGACGATGAGACAGAGAGCGGTGTCTGCGTCACAACAGACGTGTTCCTTGGAAAATCATCGATGTTACAAGTAGAAGGTGATAAACTTGGCACCAGTAGATTGATTATGCATGTGCGCGGTGAAGTTTGTTCCATTTTTATTAAGACCATTCTGGCTCCTCTCAGTCTTTTCTCTTAGGTGAAGATGGAGCGTCAGTATGAATATGTAAAGCGGCATCTTCGGATGAGGCCCAGATGGTCAGGGACAGGGATGGACTAAACTTCATCCAAACTGAGGGGACGCGGTGGTCAAGTGCGTAATGACGCCAAGCCCAAACCGCCAGACAGTGATTTAATCCTTAAGGATCGCGCTTGCTCTACTAGCAAGTAGCACTTCAGTTTCAGTTTCATCATTCTCCACTAGTATCTTCTTCTATATTTTTAAGTGGACTTAGAGGGAGAGTTATAGACCCCCTCAATCGTTGGGATAGTATAGTATCTTCGACTCCGAGTCCGTTCAGGTTCATCATTCATACTTACTTATATATTATAGTAGATATCTATGCATACTGATGATCTTCATCAAGAGCAAGTGCAAGATCCTCATGGTAGAAATCAAATAAGTGCGCGACTTCTTGTAGACTAAAACCATTACTCGCTGGCCTCGCTCCCGCCCAGGTGTGTCGCTCTCGTTGGGTTTTCGAGAGGACACCATCAGCGCGCGCCCTGGGTTCTCTCTCAGAATATAGCTAGTTACTAGACATCGCGAAAAGGAAAACCTTCCTCGGGGCTTCTTTGCCATGCTCTAGCCGCTTACATTTTTGCTCCACCTTGCTGTCCCCACGTCTTTGCTTGCCTTCGCCTTCCTTACCTCCACCGACCTCCTTGACAGCCGTCGACGATCGACGACAGGGGGCGACGACTGGCAACGGGAGACGACGACCGACGACAGCCGCCGACAAGAGACGCCGACCGACGACGGCCGCCGACGATCGACGACAGCCGCCGACGATCGGCGACAAGCTACCGCCGAGGCCGACGATCGACGACAGGGGGCGGCGGTCGACGACAAGAGACGACGACCGGCGACAGCTGCCGACGATCGTCGACAGCCGCCGACGATCGGCGACAGCCGTCGGGGTCGGCGATCGACGACAGGACACGACGATCGACGACAAGAGACGGCGGCCGACAGGTGTCGACGATCGGCGCCAGCCGCCGGGGTCGACGATCGACGACAAGAGATGACGACAGCCGCCGACGATCGACGAAAGCCTGGCGATCGACGACAGCCGCTGGCGATCTACGACAAGGGGCGACGACTGACGACAGCCGCCGAGGCTGACGATCGACGAGAGGGGACGACGATCGACGACAGGGGACGACGATCGACGGCGTGGGGGTGACAATCGACGACGACAGCCGCCGCCGATCGACGACAGGCGCAAAGGCTGACGACCGACAACAGGCACAGGGGCGGGGCGACGATCGACGACAGGAGACGACGATCGGCGACAGCTGTCGACGACCGACGACAACTGCCGACGACCGACGACGGGCAGCCGTCGACGGCTGACGCTAGGCAGCTGCCGAGGCCGACGACTGACGGCAGGGGACGACGATCGACCACAGCCGCCGACGAGCGACGACAGCCGTCGGGGTCGACGATCGGCGACAGGGGACGACAAGAGACAACAACCGGCGACAGCCATCGACGACTGACGACAGCCGCCGACGATCGACGACAGCCGCTGACGATCGGCGACAGCTGTCGAGGTCGACGATCCACGACAAGAGAGAGAGACGACGACGGACAGGCGACAGGGGGCGACGATCGACGACAGGGGGCGAAGGTCGACGACAAGAGACGACCACCGACGACAGGCGCCGGCGATCGGCGACAGCCGTCGACGATCGACGACAGCCGTCGAGGTCGACGATCGACGACAGGGGGCGACGACTGACGACCACAGGGGGCGGCGATTGGCGACACACTCACAAAAGACGACGACTGAAGACAGCTGTCGACGATCGACGACAGGAGACGACGATCGACGACAGGGGACGACGATAGACGGACGACAAGGGGCGACGACTAACCAACGACAGCTGCCGATGATGAACGACAGGCAGCCGCTTATGATCGACGGCAGCCGCTCATGATCGACGACAGGGGACGAAGATCGACGACAGGGGACGACAAGAGACGACGTCGACCAGCGACAGCCGTTGCTGATCGACGTCGACGACAGCCGTCGGCGATCGTGTCGCTGAGAAGGTCGGGCAGTATTCGCTGTCGCTTGTTTTTCGTGGGTTCCCACGAGCGGCGCACTTCTGCGCCGTCAGACGCTTGTCTTTTGCGGCTACGTGCTTGCAGGAGCAGGCGCCTGCTTGCAGAAGGTCAGCTGGTATGCTCCGCTGTCCGCTGTATTTGGGCTCCCGCCCCCACGAATAGCGAGCTGACAGAGCTGAATGACACAAAGCAGCCCCGTGGAGTTCTATCCATGTCTGTGGGCCTCCATCTCGTTGCTACTCGCCTCCGCCTCCTTGCTTGCTTCCGCCTCCTTGCTTGCCTCCGCCTTCTTGCTTGCCTCTGCTTCCATGCTTGCCCCCGCCTCCTTGCTTGCCTCCGCGGCCTCCTTGCTTGCCTCCACCTCCTTGCCTGCCTCCGCCTCTGTCTTTGCTTGACGTTGCCCCCAACTCTTTGCTTGCCCCCTCCTCGCTTGCCTCCCCCGCCACCTCTTTGTCTGCCTTCGCCTCCTTGCTTGTTGGCTCCACCTCCTTGCTTGCCTCCACCTCCTTGCTTGCGTCCGCCTCTTTGCTTGCCTCCGCCTCTTTGTTTGCTGGCCTCCACCTCCTTGCTTGCCTCCAGCTCCGCCTCCGCTCTTGCCTCCACCTCCTTGGTTCTTGCTTGCCTCTGCCTCCTTGCTTGCCTCCGCTTCTTTCTTTGCTTCCAGTTCCAACCACCTCCTTGCCCCCACGCCTTCCACCCCACACCCTTGCCTTCGCGATCGTGTCTTTGGCTGCACCTCTTTGGCTTTATCTTTTTGCCTCCCTTATGTCTTTGGCGTTTTGTTAGCAATGAATGCCCACCGACTGAGATGCCGACCAACTGACTACGCCACTAGGATGAACACACTGAAAACACTACCACACGCACGCAAGTCAGGGAAGTCACTCGGGTCACCATTACCAACCTGCGGGTGAGGAGGATGACAGCGCGACGGCGACTACCAGCAGGATACGGATGAAGGCCGTGGCTATAGATAGGCTGGCGATGGTCGACGACGGTGATGACGATGAGAACGGGCAAGGGGCTTGGGGACTTTGATGGCGTTCATGATTCTGGTGGAACTTTGTGGGGATCTCTATGCATGGGAGGAACGAGGAACCAGGCCGGACGAGTTGACTGAAATCAGAACCATGGACGGGGGCCGAAGTGGATCAGGATCCTCATGGTGATCCGCCACGGGGTGGCGACGTGTCTGATCTTATGCCTGCGCTCCCCCTCTCAAAGCAAGGACCACCAAACGAAACACCACACACGCCAAAGAGTGCCCACGCGACACGTAGAACCTTGAAAAGGTGACAGAGTGCGCTCGTGCTACGGAGTTCAGTGCTTCGTCGTCTTGTGCATGAAGTGGCTGGTCTGAAGACGTTTGGCGCTGCTCAGTCTTTTTGTCAACGGGTCTCGCTCCTCTGCACGGTTCGAGCCCGTTGGACTATAGCGCAGCTTCTTGACGTGGTCGCGGACTGCGTGGCGCTGAAGGTCGGCGCGCTTCGATCTTTTCGCGGTGGCTGTTGGCTTATTGAGTTTGAGACCGCCCAGGGCAGACTGGTTATCCACGAAGTCAGACGAGTGGGGCACCGCCTGCGCCTTCTCTCTCTAGATACCAATCAAGAAAGCCCTTGGCCGTGTGCATCTTGATGCTGTCATATATTGCGACACACTCCGCCTCGCGTGTGCTATTTGCTCTGTCGGTTTGTCGTTTGACAGACCACGCAGCGGGAACCCCGCGAGAGTATAAGTAGACGCTGCCACTGGCTGACCTTAGGGCTACCGTGCAGCCAGGCAGCAAAGTCAGAACCGCTGGACGTTACTGACGTGTCTACCTCTTTACCAGCTTCGGCCGCTACTTTTCTGCGGCGTGCTCTCTCTGCTAGACCCAGCCTTGAGCTTGACCCTGGGGGAGTATAATTCGAGGGCTACGCCTTTTCTTGTACCTTTCAAGTGTTGCAGGATACGCCTCGCGCGCTTCTTCGTGTTTTCCGACCGTTCCCGGTGGGTTTACTACTTCGCGCGCCATGCGTTGCGCCGTGAATATTATGCCCACACACTCTACACAGGGTGGGTTGCTATATGCATCAAGCTGCCAACAAGACTACGCAGCGGGAAGTCGCCAGTCGTTGGGGTGTCGGTTTCTGGACTGTATAACACGGGCGAGGACACGGCCCGACGCTCGGCTGTGTTGAGTTTTCGCATTAGACGGCTGACAGCTGCACGCGTGTGAATTTTGCACCACTGTCGGGCAGGGTTATACTCAGACAATGCGCCCAACATGTCTCCAACTTTAGCGCCGTCCCCTCGAACTTAGGGGCTGGGCACTTTACTGGGGTACTTAGCTAGTGAGGATCTTACCCATCTCACTTCCCACGATTTCAACAGGCGGGCGCGCCGCTGATTATCGTACTTAGTGCTGCCATCACTCAGCGTAGACGCTTAAGGTAGTGAGGGCATTGCCTTGCGCTTCTTTTCGAAATAGGCCGGGCTCACGGGGACGTGTCTCCACTCTCCCCGTGCCGGTGTCTAAAAATAAGAGACAAATAGCGACGGACTCGCTGCTGTATGGACCACAAGCCCCCTTGCAGGTGGTCGTGGACGTGGTGCAGCAGCTTCGTAGTGGAGCACCGCCAGCGCCGATCGAAGGATCCGCGCCGCCAGTGTCAGACGAGCAAAGTGTGCTGGACGACCTGAAGGAGGAAGAAGAGTCAACTGTTGAAGGCCTCACGGCGGAGAAAAAGCGCCAGCTGGAAGAGGATGCGCAGGCGGAAAAGCAGCAACGCCTCAAGGCTGAAGAAGAGGAGCGCGCAAGGCAGAAGGCTGAAGAAGAGCGGCGGCAGAAAGACGAAGAGGACCGTCTCCGGATAAAAAAGGAGGAGGAGGACGAACGTCTCCGGATAAAAAAGGAGGAGGAGGAGGAACGTCTCCGGATAAAAAAGGAGGAGGAGGAGGAACGTCTACGGAGAGAGAGCCAACAACGCCGCGATGCGGAAGAAGCAGAAAACCGGCGGAGAGAAGAAGAGGAACGTCTCCGGATAAAAAAGGAGGGGGAGGAACGTCTACGGAGAGAGGACCAAGAACGCCGCAATGCGGAAGAAGCAGCACGCCAGCGGAGAGAAGAAGAGAAACGCCTCCGGATAAAAAAGGAGGGGGAGGAACGTCTACGGAGAGAGGACCAAGAACGCCGCGATGCGGAAGAAGCAGAACGCCGGCAGAGAGAAGCAGAGCAGAGCAGGCTGGAGCGGGAGGAGGAGCGCCTGCGGAAAGTCCGAGAGAATGAGGCGAAAGCCAAACAAGAACGAGAAGAGCTCGAAAGGCAGGAAAAAGCCAAAGAAGACGAGCAGCTGCGGATTGATGCGGAGAACAGGAGGGCAGAGCAGGAGCAGCGCCAGCAACGGGAGAGGGCGGAGGCTGCGGAAGAGGACCGCGCAAGGCAGGCCAGAGAAGAAGAGCTCGCAAGGAACAACAAGGCCAAGGAAGCCAAGGCGCGTGCGAGGGAGAAGATGGACGCACCTCCGCCGCCACCCAAATTGCTCGGCAAGGTGTCCGTGTCCGCGTTGCGAGAAGGGACTGTGTCCGCTACGCAGACGGCTGCGAGTAATCTTCAATTGTTTGAGGCGAGGCCGAAACAAACGAGGCTTACGGCCGGTGACCTGGTGTACTATGTTGACCGGGAAGATGGCCCACCAGCGAGGCAACGTACCTTTATGCAGGGTTACGTCCCCTTGCACGACGTCGTGTTCGCGACCTCCACAGACGAGACAGAAGCAAAAATCATACGGTTCAAGATGAATCCGCTGCAGACGACTACTCCGGTTCGTGATATTCATGTCTACCCAGACGATTCGGAACCGAGACCACATAAAGTGCGCTTCCTGGACAGCTTGGGCAACGCCAAAAAAGTCCGCAAGCGCTTGAGCTGGGGAAAGTGGATGGCAGAGCCCTGGGTGCAAGAAGGTAAAGATCAATTCTTTCTAGGTTACTGTAAATTGTAAGCACTCTTGCTTGCGAATCTACTCTAGGACTCATAGTATATTAATGAATATATTTTTATACACCGTTTTACCTATAATAATTGGTACAACATCAAAGCTAGAAATAAGCTACACCTCGCATCATGGAATTCGAATCCTGCTAAGGAATATTCCCAATTTGCTAAAGTAGATTGAGCATATCCATACTACTTTTCCAATTCCCCTCAAATGGCACCTCGTAGCTGACCCCCAGTCAAACTGTTAGGGAGAAGAAGATAGACATGAAAATGATAAATATACAAATATTTTGTCCCTTACAGAGTTTGTTCGCGACGAAACTACAAATGCAGCGGTCCCGCTACAGAAACCGGCACCACCGAAACAAGAATAAGGCAGGAGAATGAGAATCTCTAATGGTTGTTATTAACATTAATTATTAAAAAAAGTTTTTTAGTTTTACACGAGGCTCGCCGTCCAGGGCGAGAGACGAGGGGACACATCTAGATCTAATCTAGCTGTAATCTGATCATGATCTTGTTTGTTCATGTTTATAGTTGGTGTTTCCTTTCAGCTCGTATCATCATTTTTCTTGTTAGGTCGCTTTCCTCGTAACGTCGCGACACTCAACTTCAACAACGTTATTTCTATTCATTTTTAGCTACTGCTGTGCCGCTAACTCTACCAACGAACGTGCTCTATTCTCACTATTAGCTTGAGAAAAAGAGAATTGATGAGATGATGTACTTCTATTGCAACATCATGTAGCACTACGGCCACTAATACCTTCTATTTTTGATTTATTGATGTAAGTAGATACAGAGTCGATAAAGATGAAAAAATGTTTTTTTTTTTTGGCAAGGCCACCACACGAGGACCTCGAGCTCGACCAAGATCAAGTAGAAGAAGTAACTAGTTCCTGAAGACAGAGATGATACTAGTCATGGTACTTAATATAGCCAGCATTAGGAAGTTCAAAAGCTCTAACCTCAAGGCCCAAACAAGAATCCGAGTGGTGGCGTCAGTGTCAATTTCGCAGATAGAGGCGCAAGGCTAGGCGTAATTCCGTGGGCTGACATTAAGACTATCACGACCGTAGCGCCATCCACATACTTAGCATCATCCTGCTTGTCGTTGTCAAGAAAACGAAAAAAGGGCCAAGATGACATGGTCTCGTCAGGAATGCCAGAACGAAGTTAGTAGCTCTAATCATGTACGCGCAGAAGGGGGTCGCGTTGTGGATGTAGAAAAGGGATCGTTTGGTCGTAGCATATGGAACGTGAAGAAAAACGAGTATCGGCGGAAGCGGCAGGAGATGGATCTTCTATTGCCGAAGGAGACCACAAGGAAAAGCGCATATGGGAAAACACAAGGCCCGGGAGTTACAGTTCAACTTTTCAGAGACCCCGTTACCAAAGAGGCCCTCTTAAGTCTCGGTGTAAGTGTATTGATAAATTGAGCCTACATTTTAAATAACCTCCGACACGACACTGAATTTTTGGTATAAGAAGTAGAAGCAAACCTGACATCACAACAATGAGAACTACAACTCCACATCATGACGACACCACGAGGCTAACTACTTCTTGCCGAAGATTATGACTTCCTTCTGCAAGTCGTGCCAAGTGGAATAAGTGCAACATCTTCTGCCCCCTCCTTAGGAAAATCTGACGTGATACCAATGACCACCTTTACACTAGAAAGCGAAATATTCAAGTACATGACTGAGCTCTGAGCTCTAACTATCGAGAATCTGCGAAACCAGTTCGAAGGAAAGAACCCTGCAGATGCGACAGGCCAAATACAAATTTTACGGGTTGCAAGTTGACTTACTGATCTGTATCTATGAGCAGCTTATCTTCAATGAGCATGACAACAAGAGAGATCGAGATGTATCTTCACAGTTGAAATTGTTGAGTGTATAGGTTGACCCTAAGTTTCTTCATCACATTTTTCAAGTAAGAGAGAAGCAGTCGACGCCTTCAGCTTCACACATCAACTGGCTATGTTGCGAGAAGACAGACCACAGGTTCTTTCTTGCTATTACCTCTTCTAAAACTAGAAGTAGAGGCTCAGTACGTGGCAACATTCAGCGAGCAGAAGCCTGGGACTAGCATAAAGTGCGAAAAGGTCGTGCTTGTGTTTGGCGTGGAAAAGGAAGGCGTGGCGGTCTATCAGCCAAGTGCTCGGAAAGGGCCGGGCTCTTTCTTAGTTGAGAAATTACGAAAAAATAAAGTACAGGAGCACTCGAATGTGGCTTCGTAATTATATGCACGAAGAACTCCTTCTACTTCATCTCGCTCGATGGAAATACTTACTTACTTACTTGAATAATTGATCGCTTCTTCTCCGTCGTGACAGCGGACAATTACCGGAAACTCCATCTTGTTAGAGAGTCTCTGTCTCAGTGTCATTCCTACTATGTAGTGAAGTTGAAGTTGAACTATTCATAGTAGATATGTCAAATGAAGGTGCCGCTTGACAAGTAGTTCTTGAGTCTGAGGGCCTTCTATTTTCTTATTATATATGTTCCAGGGGCCAGGGGACAAGGCCCACCCCCGATCTAACTTTTTGAGGGGATGCCTCCCGCCCCTGACCCTTTTCCCAGAGGGACGGCCGGGCGGGAAGGCCTCCAAAAGCCCACGCCCAACCTCTTCCCGCTTCTTGCCTGGATTGCAGAGCCCCCACCTCTGTGGCCGTTCAAGCGCCGAAGGCCGGGCGTGCAAGGCTTCCGAAGGTGGCAAAGTTGGCAAGGCTGGGCCCCCTTTGGCTTGTTGCGGCTTGTTGCGTGTACCCTACAGGCCTCAAGGGTGCGGGCTCCTCACGGGGGGAGCCTCTTGGGAGGTGCGAGGCCTCTGAGAGAAGCAGGCGGCAAGGCTTGACCCCTTTCGCCGTGCCGCATGTATCCGACAGAACCCAGGCGGGCCCGCCTTGCTCCCACTCCTCCCCGCCTTTGGTCTTCAACCCCCCCCCGGGCGTTTGGAGGTGGTGGCGGACGAAGGCCAAAGGAGCCAGGCCTTGCGACCGTGCCCGCCTTCGGCGGCCTTCGTCCGCCGCAGGCTGTCCCCTTGATAGGCTCCAAGACCAAGAATCGGGACGCCTGTGGGGTACTTCACGCGGAGAGCCGCCAGGGGGCTCCGGCTCCGCCTTTTGAGGCTTTCGCCCCCGGGGGTCCTTACAGGTCACCACAGCGGAAAAGAGGGCGCGTGGACGCCACCGCCGTTCCATCGATCCAAATAAAGGGGGGGGCTTGCCTTCTTGGTGCGTATATGTATCGCTACTTGACCCTAAAAACGCCATAGCAGAGGGCGTGGCCGTGGGCGGGTCTAGAATTTGCGGCGCAAAGAGCGCTGAGCAAGATCCGGATAGCTCCCTTACGGCGGCCGCGTGGCTAATGAGTCTGTCTGGCCGTATGGCTAGGCGGGCTGCCTGGCTAAGCCTGCCCCATGGCTAAGCTGGCCGCCCGCTCGGCTAAGCAAGCTGGCCGCGTGGCTGTAAGTAAGTTGGCCACATGGTTCAGGGAGCCACCCGTGCCAATGGCTAAGCTAGCCGGCCATATAGCTGGCCAAGCTGTTCGCTTGTTGGTTCGTTGTGTTGACTGTATAGCGCAGCTAGCTACGGCCCAGCTGGCTACCTAGGCCTGGTCCAGCGGGTTATTGCTTAGCTGGCTGGTTTTGGCTCAGCTGGCGCCGGCTGGTTAACTATAGTTCGTCGAGTATACCTACGGCTCAGCTGGCAGGCTATAGCCCAGCTTGCTGGCTATGGCTCAGCTGGCTGGCGATGGCTCAGCTGGCTGGCTATGGCTCAGCTGGCTGGCTATGGCTCAGCTGGCTGGCTATGGCTCAGCTGGCTGGCTTTGGCTCAGCTGGCTGGCTATGGCTCAGCTGGCTGGCTATGGCTCAGCTGGCTGGCTATGGCTCAGCTGGCTGGCTATGGCTCAGCTGGCTGGCTATGGCTCGGCTGGCTGGCTATGGCTCGGCTGACTGGCTTGATGACTATGGCTCGGCTGACTGGCTTGATGACTATGGCTCGGCTGACTGGCTTGATGACTATGGCTCGGCAGGCTGGCTGGCTATGGCTCAGCTGGCTGGCTGGCTATAGCTCACCTGGCTGGCGATGGCTCAGCAGGCTGGCTCTGGCTCGGCTGGCTGGTTTTGCCACAGCTGGCTGGTGTTTGGCTCAGCTGGCTGGCGATGGCTCAACTGGCTGGCTATGTATGGCTCAACTGGCTGGCGGTGGCTCAGCTGGCTGGTCATGGCTCAGCTGGCAGGCTATGGCCCAGCTGGCTGGCGATGGCTCAGCTGGTTGGCGATGGCTCAGCTGGCTGGCTATGGCTCAGCTGGCTGGCTATGGCTCAGCTGGCTGGCTATGGCTCAGCTGGCTGGCTGCAGGCGATGGCCCAGCTGGCTGCCTGGAGGTTATGACCCAGCTGGCTGGCGATGGCTCAGCTGGCAACACACAGAGAGAAGCTTCGCCATGAATTATGGCCGTGAAGTCCAAACGGAATCTGCGTCGACACTCCAAGCGGCAGGAAGCTTAGGAACGCTATCGAGCCAGAACAGGGCAAGAGCCTCCTTATATAGAGAGAAGCTCGCGTGACCGTGAACGGTGTGGCCTTAGCGGCCATCTTTTGCGCTGAATGCCACGAATAATTGTCGCGAAGTCCAGAAAACCAGAACGGTCGGTCGCGGAAGTCGGAGTATGAGCGAGAAGTTCTGGGGTGACCTTTGCCTCTATAGGGTCCTTAAACTTAAAGGGGCTCTCTTAGGAAGCTCTCCTAAGAAGCTGCCTGGAGAGCGAAGCTTTCTGGGGGAGCTCGCTTAGAAGGGGCGTGCTAGACGCATTTTTGTTACAAGAAAAGCGGCGTGGCAAAATATCGGCTCTTATTCTTATAGATACATAGTTACATGCCCAGAACGCGGGCGGCCCATCAAGGGCCCGCTGCATTGGGCATAGGTTAGCAACGAGACAGATAAGACATACAAACGAACAAAGTCGCGAAGTCTGCTGTCAAGGGCTAGAAAGACTCGCGTGCTGGCTGTCGCTGTGGCTAGGCTAGTAAGCTGGCGACCGCTATGGCTACGAGAGCGCGTTGGCCGTGGCTATGCTAGCACTGTGGCCTTGGCTAAGCTAGCCACCAGGCTGGTGATGTCAAAGCTAGCAAGCTGGCGATGCTGATGGCTAAGCCAGCGGGCTGGCTTTGGCTATCTAAGCTGGCCAGGATTGAGCCAGCAAGCTGGCCATGGCCCATGGCTAAGCTAGCCGCATGGCTGTGGAAGTGGTTACTTAAGCAAGCAAGCCGGAGAAGGCGAAGCCAGCAAGTATTGCTCTGGCTTAGATGGCAAAGCTAGCGAGGCACGCTGGCCATGGCTGAGCTAGCAAGGCAAGGCAGTTGCGGCCATCCTCGAATGTGATCTAGCGAGGCAAGGTGGCCATGCATGGCTAAGCTAGCAAGCCACGGCGAGTTGGTTATGGGTGAGGTAATCGAACAAGGCAGGAAGGCTTTGGCCTAGCTAGCAAAGCAAGCTGGCTGCGGCTGAGGGAGCAAGGCCAGTTGGCTACGCTATGACCTAGCTAGCTGGCTGGCTATGGCTGACCCTGATGCGCCAGGTTCTTGAAAGTGAAACTCTTAAAGGAATCCGCTGAAGCGGTCGGGTGGCCCTTAGGGATGGGCTTACTATTAGCCTAAGCGTATTACGGGGCTCCTTAAAGGAGCCCCCTTAAGGCACATTTTTGGGTCTTAAGGAAAACTTATAGTAACTTATAAAATCCCGCCTTAAGGGATGCCATTTCCTTAAGGAAGCCCCTCAAGGAAGGCTCTTAAAGATTTTCGGGAAATTGTTTACACTATTGTGATCCATTGTGAAACAAGATCCAGGTCCCCACTGAAATCCGAAGTCTACTGATCCAGTTCCGCAGCGTCAGCGTCCTACTTAGCTAACTTCTTAAGTAATGTAAGCATAAGAAGGAAGAACGACCAAGACAGAACAAGAACAACACAACAAGCACGACCCAAGACAAGACCGACGCCACAGGAGCTGCATGGTGTCCATTCTCTTTCCTCATGCAGGCTTGGCATGTGTTACCTCGGTGACATCACGTAAGACGTACTGAGAGGGCCTAAGATAGACTCAAGCCTAGGCCGGCTTAGTATGGTCTATTACATTCATACACCAACCATTTTTGAGCCAAGTATATAAGTTTTTTTTTCCGCTCAAGTTTACAAGTTGTTGAGCAAGAAAGTAACCAAGTAAATAAGTAAGAAACAACTACAGCACTCGCATAAATTACCACTGAAAAAAGTCCATTCTTCAAAGCACGCAAGAGCAAGAAAATGGCAAGCGAAGACCAACACGGTGGAGCGGGAAACCCTTCACACGAAGGGGGTGGCGTTTTCGGCGAAGGAGAAAACCCACACGGTGGAGGTGGATACCACGAAGGCGCGCCGGGTGTTGTGCCGGGAGCAGGTGCAGGCGATGGAACTGCAGAGGGAGGCCAATATCCGCCAGGGTTGGGCCAGGTGTGGTCTGGAGCAGAGCACGGGCAGGCCGGCCCGGGTCTCAGCAAGACTCTGGCTCTGTGGGCTCAGGCGGTTCAGTTCCCGGCCTGGGATCCTGGGGCGGCGTTTTTCAGCAACAGCCTCAACCTCAAACGCAGCAAGTCGACCTTGGTACAGCACTACTGCAATTGGCGAACAACACGGCACAGCAGCAAGCGCAGCCTGTAACGCACCTACAGCAGCAACAGCAGGCGACGCAAGCTAACCAGGAGCAAACAGCCAGAATGTTTGCTACCATGCAGGAAAATCCCCACGATGAACTGCGTAGAGCACGCGAAAACGACGCGGAGAAAGCGAAAAGTCACAAGTTGGACAAAGAAAAGCAAGACGATCGCGAAGACGTCAAGCGAGCTACGCAAATGCTGCAACAAGTGGCGAAGTGTACCGGTTCGAACAGAGATTCTTCCTCCAAGGATTTCGAGACATGGGGGGTAGATGTCCGTAAGGCTCTCGCTGAGGCTGGTCTGATTGAATTCGTAGACAGCGGCCCAGAGAAAACGGAAGAGGGCGCTCCGTCTGAAGAATTCGAACGTTTGAAGGTAAAAGCAAAGTCCCTCGGTGGTGCTTTGCTAGCTACCCTGGAGGGCGAGGCGCATCGGTTAGTACGACAGAAAGATCAGGACGATCACACGGCAGTCCATCTTGTCATGTCTACTCTGATGGCCGAGAAGGAGCACCCAGGACTAACCGGCAAGATCACTCGAATCCAGAGGCTATTGTCGGTCGCAAACTCGAACGAGGCCAAGTCATTAGAGCCCCCCCAGCGGTTGCGTTTCACGTTTTAACTCCTACCCTAACTCGGATTAAACTCCTGGCACATGCTCGGGCTCGTTTCTGCTGTTAAGGGGGTCAGCTTTTAAGCCTAAAAAAAACCAGCCTGGTCGTTTTTTTTGGCGCCTGAAAACGCAGAAAAAAAGAAGGCGCTTCGGGGTCTTTGTATCCCTTTTATGCAGCCTGC